CTGTATTCACCACACACACACTACCCTCTCTACCCTTCTAGTTTAATATTCAACTTTTTGTGACGTATATAATATCAAAGGCCTAGGTTAAGTCAATGTATATGAAAGTAAAAATATATATCTAATATACTATAGGACTAGGCGTGTGTGTGTCTATTCTGGGCAACCGAAACGGCACAATCGTTTTTCATCAAACTTGGTGGAAAAATCGCAAAAAAATTCGTAGAGTGGAACAAACCTGGTTCCATGTCGATGGTTTCTTTAAGAAGGCATTAGTTAACAATTTTATTTACGATGGAAAACGATGTAACTCTACGGACTTGGCGCACTCTCATTCGCTGTACGCTGTCACGAGCGTTCAAACTCAGCGATCACTTGTATTAACACTATTACCACCACGTTCCGGGATCTGGGTACATACATACGTACATACTTACTTACATACAAACTTACTTACATAGGAGCATCCTGGCATGCATACATACATGCATAGGAGCATCCAGGCATATGCTCGTCAAGCTCACTAGCTCAATATTCGTGCAGAGGCGATCACACGTATTAAGAATTCATATTTATTATTTTCCAGTCATTGGGGATGTATCACTCCGTCTTTACTTCTTCAGAATAACTATCTTGTATCTATGGGGTGTTACGCCGTCTCTTAATTTACTTAAATATCCAGGTTCTAGGCGTAACCAAACAAAAATGTGAAGTAAATTAAAACGGAATAAAAATAGATAAAGTAAACCTTTAAGAATTTAATTAATTAAATATTAACACAATAAAGAGCCTCGTAGGCTGTCACAACAAATTGATTCACCATCGAAACTTTTAAGACACAAATGATACTAAACATCGAAACATCAAAAGAATAAAAATAAAGCATTGGATTACGTTAACACTGCATAAACATATAAAAACTAACACTGAAATTAACTAACGTGAAACAACACTGAATTACTTAAATGAATCTAAGCAAATACTGATGGACATAAATAGAGACATAAATAGGTACTCACATAGATATACCACATTGGTGGCGACAGGAACAACACAAAGAAATTAAGTATAAGTAACAGGTGACGAGTGTCACTCAAAGGATGTGAACTGTATGACAAGAGGACTGAACTAACTCAAGTCAGTTGGTGGGTCCTATATATAAGGTCGGCTCCCGCCACGCGACCCGCCGGTGGGTCGTTTAACGATGCAGATAGTCGTTAGAGAACACAGAATGCTGGTTACAATACAAAATAAAGAAATAAGATGGGCTTGAACAAATAATGACAGTTAAAACCTTAACAGCACAGGGTAAGGTGACTAGAATATATAATAGTAAATTTAACACATCATTACAGGAATAATATGGAACATGGGAGCATGTTATATATAAAAAAAATAGAAAAAATACGACACGGTCGTAACGGGGTGTACCGTAGGGGTCAAGGCTCGTGTATGAACCTTGAGCTTAGATAATATTACTTATTTAATACTGTTGATAATGCCATATACTTCAGTGTTGTGTTGACGTGTTCATCTGTTCCTGCTGATCATTATCTCTCTGAAGTGTCTCTTGATGGTCTCCAACTAAGGGACTTGATCTTCAGTATATATTTATCCCATCATGTATACAATTTTCCCTTTTTTTGTTTTATTATACAAGGAATAAATCACATAGTTATAGTTTAGTAAGTCAGTGATCCATTTTTTCCCTCCCTAATAAAAAATATTATTCCTCATTCTCAAGTACTCACCATTATATTATCTGATCCTCTCCCCCCATAGGCCATCAATTAAACCTCAAGAACAGTGCCACGTGATGTATAGTGCCAATAGAGGCTAAAAAGGCCCCCACCATCACCATAACTCCCCCCCCCCCTTTGATGACGATGATACCCCCATTAGTTTTTCGATAATATTTTACCTCTATAGTAAATCAGGTCTTGAAATATGTTGGGATAGACAATTATCTCTTGAGTCTCTAAGGTTATTAAAACTCGCTGTGGTTAAGCTCCGCCATAACAAGGACGGGGGTAGAATTGGGTGATTGGCGTTGTGTATTTACCATCTCAAATTCTCATAGCTCACTAAAGTACGAGACAATAATTTAGTGATCTGTATGGCATGGAAAAATAAATGTCTCCTGCTTCTCTCTCTTGCAGTTAATTGTATGTAGTGTAGTGTAGTGTAGTGTAGTGTGGTGTAGTGTAGTGTAGTGTCTGGATGAAAAGGTTGTCAAGTCATGGATTGATTTACAGCTCCCGGCAAGTACTGTATTCAGTATAGTCATGATGACATCCTGCTTCTACTGTTTCCCCCCTCCTCCACTCCCCCACCCCCCTCCCTCGCATTACGCCTATACTGGTCATGTACTGTACTTTATTGTTGCTACTTTATGTATACTGTAATGATTATTTTTGGTGGGGAGTTTAACTTTGACTAAAATTGGTGTGTTTTTGTTTATGCTACCGTGTCTCTCTCTCTCTCTCTCTCTCTCTCTCTCTCTCTCTCTCAGGGCCACTACCAACCTGAGAGGGGTGTTACTAGGTGGTGCTGTGGCCGTTTTTTTTTCTTTTTTTTAGATTACACAAAAACCCTAATGGATATAAACGGTTTTTTTTTTTTAGTTCTCCTTGGGTCGAATATTATTACTGTTTACCAGTGTTTTTTTTGTTTTGTTTTTGTTTTTATACATGCACTAAAGTATACATTGTTTATTTACCTGTATTGTCTATGCATATATTGTTTGTATACTTGTTTTGTCTGTACGCTGAATCAATGTGAATTTGGATGAGTATTTTCTTGCGTCCCTATCTGTACACTCAGTACATGTAACATAATAATAATAATAATAAATGGTTTATTAATAGAGTTACAGCCGGTGGCTGAAAATATACAGACTTACATTTGATTTAGACATAATGATATAATATGCATTGAATACATTTACAGGGCTGTACAGTACATAAATCACGAGTTGTTTATTATTTTAACAATAGATGGGATGGTGCTGTTCTTATATCTATCGGTGCGGGCTCTTATGGGCTGAATTTTGTTGTAGTGGCGGACTGAGCGAGTTGGGTGGGGGGGCTGCAGGTGGCGATGGCGAGGGTGGTGTAGTAGTCCACGGCCAAACCTTTCCAGTGCTTGGTGGTGGAGGTACATTCTTCGTGTGTGTATGTGTATGAGAGAGAGAGAGAGAGAGAGAGAGAGAGAGAGAGAGAGAGAGAGAGAGAGAGAGAGAGAGAGAGAGAGAGATTCACTTCCTGGCCTTGAACATCCTCAATCCCTCCCACCAGGTAATCTGTGTACGTGGGCATTGTACGTATACAAGCTGTGTACGTGGGCAGTGTGAGTATACAAATAGTATTACGTACATAAGAGGCGATAAAAGATAGGAGAATTCATGTGAAGATTAACCCCACTCCCTTCTTTCATTACCTTCCCTCACCTTCCCTCGCTTTCCCTCACCTTCCCTCGCTTTCCCTCACCTTCTCTCACCACATTCTCTTACTTTCACCGCCATCCTTCAATTCCTTCTCTCACCTGGTAATAGTATGGTGTAAATAAATAATTTCCTGGTGTTCGTCCTAGATAATAACTTGATCCGGGTTCACGTTTTCTAACCCGTCATCATCATTACTATCATCATCATCATCATCATCATCATCACTACTATCACTGCTTTCTGGGTGTCCATCTCTCTCTCTCTCTCTCTCTCTCCATTCTCTTTCAAGTAAACCAAACCGCTTCTTCCACTTTCATATCCTCTTTTTTTCTCATTTCTTATTCTCCTCCAGTCCAGTTCTCCTCATTTATTCCTGTCATGTTTGCCTGTGTATTTTTTTGTCATATTTTGTTGTTGTTTGAGTTATCTTTCGTTATTTATGTGTAAATTGGATCATCTGACAACATTAGGCACCCCAGTTTAACTTAATCTAATCTACGTTATGCTAGGTTAGGTTATGGTAGGTTTAGGTTAGGTGTGTAAGTCACTATAGATCAACATGCATTCTCACCTGGATCATCACACACCTTTACCTACACCAGTGGCGCGTATGGGGGGGCTACTTCCCACAGCATCGTTCAACACAACCAGATTCTCACACATACACACACACACACACACACAAAAGGTAGTGTAGCTTGAGATAAATTATACATAAGTTACCCCTCACTAGACCCGCGGACGGCAAAAGGATGGTAATGTACGTGTGTTGGTCTTGGCCCCTTGGGAAACCTGGGCCAGTGTGTGTGTTTTAATCCTCTTGTTGGGTGATGGGAATGAGTGTAGCTGTGTACCTCGGGATTTGTAAGTACACAAATATCCAGAGTTGCTTGTAGTCAGAGAAACCCAACGTCAATGAGTGGGGCTGAAGAGGAAGCTGCTTTACTGAAATCTTGACCACCACACACACACACACCATCACTTACACCACCACCACACACCATCACCTCCATACACACCATCACTTACATCACCACCTCACACCATCACTTACACCACCACACACCATCACTTACACCACCATACACCATACACCACCGTGATTTGCATAGTGAGGATGTAGACTGCCTTTCTAAGTTCTTTATATACCAGGAATGACGGATAATGACATGCACTATCTGTTGATCCGAAGTAAGTGACTTGGCTCCCCTCCCTCCCTTGAGACGAGTGACCTGGCTCCCCTCCCTCCCTTGATATGAGTGACTTGGCTCCCCTCCCTCCCTTGAGTGATGAGTGACCTGGCTCCCCTCCCTCCCTTGAGATGAGTGACCTGGCTCCCCTCCCTCCCTTGAGACGAGTGACCTGGCTCCCCTCCCTCCCTTGAGATGAGTGACCTGGCTCCCCTCCCTCCCTTGATATGAGTGACCTGGCTCCCCTCCCTCCCTTGGTATGAGTGACTTGGCTCCCCTTCCTCCCTTGAGATGAGCACATGACACAATTACAAGGTGTGAGAGGAACAGTTTGACATTAAGTTAACACACATTATTATTTACAGATGTTGGTGGTGTCGCCGAGCAGTAAGACCTTCGATTCCTTCATCACCCCGCCCGTGCCTGTCTACATGCAGATATGGCTCTTCAACGTTACCAATCCGGACGATATTCGCTACCACGGTGCCAAGCCCATCATTAAAGAGGTCGGCCCCTTCACCTATATGTAAGTACTATGTCACTCTTTTTACCGATTTTACATTTATACTGTCTCTTGCATACACTGTACACTGTCTCTTGCATATACTGTACACTGTGTCTTGTATACATCGATTATGCAGCAACAAAAACATAAGACTCATTCTCCACTTTTACCTTCTATTAAAAAAAAAAAAGTTGCAAGAACTTAAATTGAAAAAAATAACTAACCAAACAAAAAATGGTTTGTATTTATAAGAACTTCTTTTTCAGCCATGCTTCTACACGCTTGGTTAATTATTTACCAAGCAAGCTTTTTAGGACAATATATTATACTCAGTAGGTTATCAACACCTTGGCAATACAGATTTAAAAGATTGACTAATTTAACTCTTGTGAATAACTCTGGTGTCATCTTGTACAGGGAAGTGAGGAAGAAGTTCGACTTTGTATGGGATCATGACAGAGGGACGGTCACCTATCGGCAGAACATCTCTTATTATTTCGACGAGGAGATGTCTTATGGTCACAAGGAGAGCGACAACATCACTACCATTAATGCCATCATGGTTGTAAGTATAGAGAGTGTGTGTGTGTGTAAGAATGAGAATGTGTGTGCGTGCGTGTGTGTGTAAGTGCTTGTGTTTACGTATTTGTGCTTGGACGTCTGTCTCATTATTTGTTGCAGATTTATTTGTTTTGATTGTGTTTGGGTATAAAAATGTGACCGTCATGTGTCCGTCATATGTGTAGTGTATAGTTACTCTTGCTGTATCAGGGGGTGGGGTGTGCAACTCATTACAGCCAATCACAGTGTACGACTCACCGCAACCAATCACAGTTCATGTTTTTATATATATGCAGTACTCCATCCTAGGAAAACAATGACAGATAATTAATTTTTTTTTAAATATTTCCAGTTCATTATCACCCACATGTGGATAGAATTTTAGAGTTTGACCGTAATCATATGAAAGTAAGTGGAATACAGTATATAATTAAGTAAAATATAATACAAATGTACTTTATGGTAGTACATAATTTACAGTTTAATTATTAGATATTGTATTATACAATAGGTTTAATTTTTCTATATACCCGTACTCCATAACAGAGTACGTGATATTGTACGTATGAGTACAGGAGCGATACAGTATTGTAAACATGACTTAAACAAACTCGTGTGATGTCACTTTTGCATCGCTATTATGCAGTAAAATATATATATATATATACCGTATATGTATGTATGTATGTATGTCTTCTTTGTATGATTTCATGGACAAACATAATATTGTGTTAAGATTTTCTCCATCATAAGTCCTTGTCGGTGTGAAACATATTGTTGCTTCACCTAAATATATGTGCTTCATTGTATGTAAAAATTTGTACTTCCCATGGGATTTGTGTTTGTCTGTTTGCTTAAAGTGTGGTTGTTCCCCGTCACTCAGACTATAGCAGCAAAGGTTGACAAGTTGGGGCCAGCAATACAACTAGCGGTGGAACTGGGGTTTATGAGGTTCAAGGAGTCGCTCTTCATCACGCGGACCGTAGGCGAACTGCTCTTCCACGGCTACGAGGAACCTCTCCTCAATAAGCTCACCCAGTACCTTGGTGACCCGACCAATTCCAACGGCAGATTTGGCTTCTTATATCCAGTGAGTTAAGGAGAGTTGTGAAAGGCGTCGACAGTATAACAGCCTGCATTATTAACTTGCTAAACCTTTGCATCACACACACATGACCTTTAGTTGTTACTGTATTGATTTATTGTTGTGAATTTTTCTTTTATGCACCATCATTTATTTGACGTTTGTAATTATGTCTCGTGCGGTGCGGCCACTGTAGTAAACCGTGGGAATGGTTAATAAACTAATAATAAAAACAAACACATGAATAACATCAACTTCTTCTCATCACTGGTGTATTTAGGGGGTTTACCTGTCCCTTCAAGAAAGAAACCTCCTCCATTTTTTTTTATTTTGCTTTTTTTTTTAATATCATTCGCAATAAGATTAGGAAATAACAAAATGGGAAGGTAGATTAGGTTGATAGATTTATAAATAACATAGAAAAAGTGTAATTATATTTAGGAAATGGTGAAAAAATGTAATTACGTTGGAAGTAAAGGACATCCACAACGAAAAACCTTCCACAAACCTAAGCAACTGAAGACTGATGTTGTATGTGTAAATGTCTAAAATAAATTATTATTTGTTGCATGTCTGGGTACATTGGTGGCTTGCTTGTCTAATTATGCTCCATGGTTTATTTTGCATGTCTTTCTGTGACCTGTAACTTGTGTGAAATGTAGAAACTGTAAGTCACTTGTACAAGATGGTCCCAGAAAAAAATGTACAGTACCGGATATATACACTGCTTTGGAGATCACTCGAATGCTTGTATTACACCATCAACATTGTCTTATCCTTACTTGTTGATGTATGAAGCCTCCCATAATTGAGGACAATGTTGTTTGTACAGTGAACCCTCGAAGATCCGGACCCTGTAAATCCGGATTTCGGAAGATTTGGACAAAAAATTTGGGGGTTCTGGGCTAAGAAGCCTCCCTAAGAAGCATTCCCAAAACAGGGTGAAGGTAGTTTTAGGTTTAAAGTTTTCATTGGATAAAGGTTACAGACTAAACTTAGCAGAATATAACTTGCATTGCTGGAATCCTTGCAAGATAGCGAATAATTTGAGTATAAACATCACAAAAAGTGTGTATAACTAACCCCAGTGGTCAGGATAATATGTACTGTATTTTTGGTGTTTTTTTTTATCATTATTTATTGGTTTTATACATTAGTACGTACAATCATCGGAAGATTCGGACAATCGACTTTTTCGGACAGGTGGGTCCCCCCCCCTTTTAGTCCGGATCTTGGAGGGTTCACTGTAGTCAGATAATTATTCACGTGATGTTCATGAAAATCTATTAGGCAGTGTACATACATTTCTTTTTGAGTCACCTTGTAGTTTGTGAAGAGTGTATGAGAAAATACAGTAATCTAATGCTGTATGGTAATAATCTTTCAATTTATCAAGTTAAAACAATTCAAGTTATAATTTCCTTCACTTTTCATGCAGCTTATTAACTTAATGCATTTTACACTACACTAAACTGGCTTTATATATTTCTCAATCTTTATACAGTAGCATGTTAATTAATCTTTTAGCACTGTTTCATATTTGCTTTTAACTTTGACTAGATTTTTGCACCATGTTGCTTTGTTATTTTTGCACACATCTTTATAATTTGTTTTTATTTTTATTTTCATCTTTTTCAATTTTTATATGTTTACAGTTTAACCCAGCATGGTTTATCCTCACAGCTTGTCATTTCTATAACTTCCTGTTTCCTCTCTGGTGTTGGCGGCATGTAGGTTGCTTCCAAAGTCTTTGGCCACGACAAATCAGCCAAAGTAGCCAAAAGTCCAAGTGTCCTCCAGTCCGAACATCATCTGCCCAGCATCCGTGACCTAATACTAGCCATAATCTGGAGTCAGCTAGAGGAAGGGATGGATCTCTTTGAAGTTCACACCGCTGAAGAACTCCTCTTCGGCGGCTTTCCTTTACCAGAGTTCAACTTCGACTTCTCCGAGTTGTCCCCCAAGTGGTTAAATTTCACTAAGGGGTGGAATGGAACCTTATATGATATTTTAGACACGATGGGAGTCCAAGATTTACCAGATTGGTTGGAGGACAACAAACTTGGCCTCATGTTTGGGGTTAGTTATTGTCTTAGATGTGTTGTGTTTGGGGTTAGTTATAGAATACAGTAGTACAATATTTATAAAACAACTCAAAAGTATATTATATCATTCCTGTACTTCATCACATGTGACAGGACGAATCTGCATATTCTTGGCAAAGCTGCATTAATTTTCCCCAATACACCGTAAGTGTATAATAAGTTCAGTGTAAGAACCTTGGACTACAGAGAGGTGTTGTTGGTGAGCAGCCGGGAGGGCAGAATGTATGGTGACGGAAATGGAGCGGCCAAAAGTGGAAAGGTGACATTATCCTCAAGATATAAGGAGTTCACTTAATAATTACTTTAATTTACTTTAATCTCTTTACCACTGAACACTTATACTTACTTATTCTCTTCAGTATTTAAACTACCTGTACTTATGAAGTCTACTACAGTACTGAAGTGTGGTCTTCGTACAGACATCGTGGACAAAGAGATACAGTACAGTATGTGTACTATAGTTGGCTTATGCCTCTTATGGGGGTCATTTTTTAAATTTCATAATTATAAATGGTATCTGTTATGCTGTACTCCACTACTTGAATAGATTTCTGAAAGGAGACTTATCATCTGATCATCTTATGCAGCGCAACAACACAAATGATGGCACGTACACAGTGAAAACTGGGGAGAAAGGGCTGAGCGACTACCTGGAGATCACCGAGTGGAATGGAAACGGTTCACTCAATTTCTGGAGTGACCCCGACTGCAACAAGATCAGAGGCACCGATGGCTCACAATACTCACCTCAGGTCACCAAGAAAACTGTACTTAATATCTTCACATCAGAAATGTGCAGGTAGGAAACATTTGTCATTGTTGTACAATCGGTAAAAAAAGTTCCTGAACACTCTAAACGTCATACAATGCAGTATGACAAATTAATCCTACATGCACCCCTATCTCTCCATAGATCTATCTACCTCACATTTGAAAAGCAAGTCAACCATTACGGCATTCACACGTACCGTTTCATCGCGCCGGAGTCCATGTTAGCAGCACCGGCAGACAACCCCGAGAACTACTGCTACTGTTACCCTGATAGAGATCATTGTCTGGGGAGCGGCATGTTGAACCTGCAGCCGTGTGCGAAGGGTAAGTGCGGCGCCACAGAGCACTCCTCTACGGTATCAATAACCACTTGAGTAAGGGGTCCCCTCTCTGCCGAACAAAAAAGTAGTGTCCCTGTAGTGAAGGGGTTAAGCATATCTCGTACATATTGTATTTATAGAAAGATATAAAAGAGAGAGAGATGTTTATTTAGTAAACTTATAATGCACATTTACATTGGGTTTAGTATCTTTAAAGTCAATGCAGGTATACACTTCAGTATGTATAAAGATAAAACAGTATACAGTGTAGTAATGTACATAGACCATGCAGGTACAGGTTTTGAAAGAATATGCTTAGACCGTGTGGGTACTGTATATAGACAATGGTAAACAGTAAGGCAACTTGACCAAGGATAGCCAACAATCAGATGCTTATACTGTATGTCACTCATAAATTCTTGAAGGAGTCTGTCAGCATACACACAGCATATATATATTAGGATGGTTCATTAATTGTATACAGTATGTGTTACTTTACTTTCTGCTTCTTTGTCACTGATCAGCCTTTTAGCCACTTGGGCAGCCATTCTTGTCTCGTTAACATGTTCTGGGTTTGAACTGGTATACATCCAAAATGATATTACCTGTATTTAGTAAAGTACAGTGAGTTCTGCTATAACGCGTGTTTTGACAACGCGAATTGGCTCTAACGCGATTTATGAATAGAGGAATGATATTTGTATAACGCGAACGCTTGTTTGCTGTAACGCGATTTTTGCTTACTATTTCTCCAATTTTGTGGTATTAACTGTGAATATGGTAAAGAAGAATATCTCCAAGAAGTGTTCTGGTGATCGCATTCCCAGTGATGATTGTAAAAGAAAGGCTATAACCCTTGAAGAGAAGCTCGATGTTATCTACCTCAAAATCACCCTTCTCCCCCATCAAGTTATATTCATATTTTTTCAAGGTAAAGTGTTACATTTACTGTATGATTTCATTATTAGATATGAATGTAACATTTATTTAGACTGTGCTATCCTTTGTGTTAGGCTACCTACTAAATTTTTTTCGATTTCGAGTAGTAATCTGCACCTAACCCTATTTTCTCCATAAGCCCTGTTATTTCTATTATGCGAATTTCTATAACACGATGTTTTACAAGAACACAACTATTGCGTTATAGCAGAACTGACTGTAATACACTGTATAGCTGTAATACAATTCAATATCTCCAGACTTGATAACTGGTCAAAACAGTCACCTGGTCCTTGATTCATACAGAACAGACACTTCAGGGTGGTGAATACATATTGGCAGACACAGCTTTAATGAAACCTTGAGCTCTCTTATTTCCTCTTGGAGGGTAACCACTGTACCTGTCCACCTTATTTGAGGCTAACAGTTTAGGGAAAGAGAAGGGGGTTGATGTGATGTCTTTAATCATGGCTTATGGAGAATTATTTCACAACTGATTACCTGGAAGGCTAAGGATCCACTGCATCTGACCCATGTCCCATACTATGCTCCTGAACCCTTTGTGTCTGCAGTCAAAAAAATAGTGAGACAGAGTTGAATTTACCTCAACAGTGGCATAATTTTGGCTCATAGTTAATGGAAGTTGTTCTACAGGTGCGCAGGTGATCATGTCCACGCCACATTTCTACATGGGAGACAAGGTCGAGCTGGCGAAGCTGGAAGGTCTTCACCCCAATAAGGAAGACCATGAGACCTTCTTGGATGTTGAACCTGTATGTTAAGTCTAAGTCTCTTTAATATCTTTTTATGAATTTAAACAAGTAAAATTTGGTATCCTCATCCAGCTTGTATATAGACAATGCAGGTTATACAGTTCAGTGTATTTATAGACAATGCAGGTACAGTACACAGTATACCTAGACAGTGCAGGTATACAGTACAGTACTAGTAAACAGTAAAGCTATTCGACCAATGATAGCCAACAAAGACATCAGATGTTTATTTCCAGTGGGGACCATAATTTGTGTTACTTCATTCTCCAGTTTGTGTTTGTTCCTGTTAAATTGTCAAAATATCTCTATTGAAGTAGATAATTGAAACCTTATCATATTTAGTGTACTGTACAATATAGTGTAGACAGAAATGACCAAAAGCAGATTTAAGGATTTGCAGAGGGATATACAGTACAAAGTGTCCATAGATTATCTGACCCATTTCAAACCTTAATGACATCAAAAATATCATAGATAGACCATGCCAGTTTTATTATACATGATAAACTGGGGGATAAAAACATACGAGGTGTTTGTCAAATATGATAAACCTGATGTGTTGTGTCTATGATACTTTTGAGGTCATTATGTTTTGAAATGGCTTGAGATAACTTATGATACCCAATATTTATCCAACAACCTCAATATGACAGAAACAGGCTGAGTTCTGAAGAGCTAAATTGTGAAGGTTTACTGATTTGATACGCGTGTAGATGTGTGAGTGTACCTTATATTTGTGCACGACTATTATCTATTACTGTGCATGCTTCTTCTTCTAAACATTTTCCATTAATCTTACCATCTATTTATAAATCAGAGGACTGGGGTGACCATGAATGCAGCTAAGAAAATTCAAATTAATGTACCATTAAAAAAGTATGGTAACTTACCCTCCTTCAAGAACGTGCCTGAAGTTACCTTTCCAATACTCTGGATCAATGAGGTAAGTTAGCAGAGTGTTATATGTACTGGCTGTCCATAAATGATCTGACGTATTATAAAACTTAATAACCTCTTGAAATATTGTACTACAGGGTGTTAGTAAAGTCGCTATGTATTTGTTTCTTGTTATACCTACATTGTTATATACAGGAGACCCTTGAAAGTCTGGACAATTTTGGGGGAAAGGAGATCAGGGACTTGCCAATTGTCTGAACTTTTACCAAGTTTAGTTTGTTGGTGGGTGGGTGGGGGGGGCACTGTGCACTAAGCAGCCACTCATTAGCCCCCCATCTGATGACCTTTAAATTTGTTTTTTAATGGGTACAATCCTTAATGGGGATACTGTACAGGGGTCTAATCAGATCTTATATATGCCTAACAAGAGCTAATAGGTATGAGATGACACTTGATGTATACACTTGGTGATGGGAGGGGGACTGCAGGTTATTCATAAGATAAATTCTGTGGTTACGTGCATATAACACTACAGTACATAACATTCATCTCGGTAAAAACATTTGTCGACAACTAGACTTTTGTCTGATTTTAAACACAGAAAGTTGTGTTTTATATATTTTATTGTTTATATATTAGTTTCTACAGACAGGCAAGGGGTGACTTATAGGGTCCAGACTTTTGAGGGTTTACTGTATCGTGTTCTGCTTACAGTAAATATTGGGAATGGTGTCCACTTCCAACATTTACTCCGAACATTTCCAATATTTACTGTAAGTAAGCAAAGATAAATAATTATATTTTTAGTTATTGCAGCTGTACAGACACTTTAATAACATCCTGATAGAGCAATGTGCACATGAGGAATTCTACTAAGAGATAAGTTGTTCTGTTCATCAAGTATAATAAAACTGCTGTGTTCTCTCTCTAATGTTAGTAAGTTATTAAATTTGTATTGTTGTATTTCATATTTTAATGCTAATGTGTTTTCTGACTTTTTTCCAAAATTTCAGAGTGCAACTGTTAATGCCACAATGTCTAAGGATGTAAAAAAAGGCATTACCTTGCCTTTTGTTGTGGTCAACGCCATCTGTGGTAGTCTCATAGCCATCGGGGCCATTCTTCTTATTGTTGGCGTCATCAGGTGTATCAGAATCAGAGTAAGCTGAAGATTCTCAATTTGTTGACAATTTTTAAGAAACTAAGAATTTTGGTCATGAGATGTGTCTTTTTGAAATCTAGTTGGTGTTACAGTGGTTTTGTGCATATCTCTCACTATTGTGTCCTGGGTTCAGTCCTTGGCCTGGGACAGATGTAAGAAGGGTGTTATGCAGTGTGACACTACCAAACTTGGCAGATTTCCTCCAGGTACTCCAGCTTCTTGCTGTACTAACACTGGACAAGAAAGGTTAAGGATTAAGAGCCTTGAGATTACATCACTGGTGTCCAGTATTTAGCAGAGACTAAGGGTTAATTGGTTGTATTTAATGAGATGCTTGAAAACCACCAAATATATTAATGTTACTACTAATACTACTACTAGTAATGATAATAATATAATAATAATAATGGTTGAGGATCCTTAATTTGAAAACCTTGAGGCTTATTCCATTTCAATTTATGGATGGTACGGCTTACTGACATTACAATAACTAGTCAATAAAACGCCCCAACAAAGAACCTCCTCACATAACTCTACAACAAGAATTATACTAACGTGTCTTTATTTTTCCAGATGTCTCGTAAACAACGGAAGCTTTGAAATTAAGGGATTACGTACGTGTTGTTGGAATGGGAGGAGCCGGTGGCTGTGATAAAAGTTAAGTTAACAAGAAAACCTCTCGCCTTAGATTGGCCTTCAAGTCTTTCTACCATCTAATGCAGCTGCGTTGTTTCCGTTATGTGGTGTCATGTACTAAAATGCCACGATCGTTGTGCAAGTAACTAACTCACCTGTTGTTCAGTATAGTGATGCCCAAACCAGACTTTTAAGTATCATTGACAGTTGCAATTACTGCAAGTGTTCCTAATTAGAGATGCAGTTGTGTTTGTTGTTGTCATTATAATTATGTTTCTAATTTCTAACTGAGTTTTCTCCTTTTCTCCTGTTATGTTTCCTATGGCAGTGGCAGACATGCTTGACAATGACAGCTGCTGTTTTGGTAGCGGTTGTAGATATTGCATATTTAAGACAACATCTGTTCTCTTACTTGTGAATATGTTGGTGGTCAATAAGTCACAAGTTATCACATAGATCACTTAAAGCACTCTATGAATAATATTGGCCGTGTAAAATACTGTACCATATATGGTTGTTTTTATAGCATTTTGTATGAACACTTTGAGAGAGGTAAGAAATTTGAAATGATGGAAGTCTTTAAAGTAGTCGTACTGTACTGTATAACGTATACAGTAATTCACAAACTCTTTTGAGTGTAATGCCTATATTTGATCATTTAACTAAAAAAAAAGAGATACAAAACCATGATATTAATTGTTTTATGGTTAGGTTAATTAAGTTTATATTATATAAATTTATGTAGAATTCTGGTCACATTACTAGTGATATTATTGGCGCTCATCAGTTATCATATACCATTTGAGAAAAATATATACGTACTGCCTTACAGAATTTCGTTGAGCGAGTACAATACGGTACGTACAATATTGCTGAAAATCTGTATGACTGTGTAAATTTTTGAGGCACCCTGTATATATGTGTGTATTGTATATTATTTTCATTTTTCATGCATACAGGCCTTTTTCTGCCATGATGCAGGGTGGCCTGGCAGGTGCTGATCTGATTGTAAGCATTCAACAACTATTGGTTCATCTCCCTCCCCAGACAGGATGCTTGTCCACCAAAGGATTTGTTCCACCATCGTCAAGTGTACCCAATGTTTTATTATAGTACAGGTACTCATTTATTACTCAGAGCACAAGGAGGAAACATAATCCTCCTCTCCAGTCAGAAAATGAACCTGTGACCATTCTCTATATGTTTATAAGTAATTAGTGTAACTTGGCAACTAGTGGAGATATCAGGGAAATTTTAAGTATGGGGGGGAAATTCAAAATACGCTGTACTGTAGATTTGTAGCAACGATCATGATTGATTCATTACAGTATTTACCCCATAAGCCTGACCTAATGTAAAGTATACGTGATAAGTAAAATATCTTTATTCTATTTAACACTCGGTAGTTTATCAATTATCTGGCAAGTATGAAACCAGAAACCGACTGTGTCCTGGGTTTATACCTCAGACTTGGGTAGATGTGAGAAGTTGTGTTATTCTATGTGACACTACCAAACATGGCAGGTTTTCTCCGGGCACTACAGTTTCCTCCTGTACTGACACTGGACAGGTTGTAACAAAGTATAGACCAACTGCCCAAATGGCTAGTATGCTGATAAGTAATGAAATGATAAACTTATTAATTAATAGGCCTAGAATATACATGAAATATTAAATAAATTATGGGGAAAATGCTGAGGGTTAGAGGATATTGTCCGAGGACAAACTCAGAATAAAATATTGTACAGTTAACCCTCACTTTACGTGGTTAATGTAACCCGCAGGGTGGCCCTCAGGTGAATCACCATTACTAGGTGAATCACCATCACTGTCACTTACAGTTGTCAGGGCTTCCCTGACAAATCCCTCAAAGTCATCTTCACTGTCACTATCACTGGCTTGGGCTGGCTGTGGTGGGTTGCGGGCGAAGAACTCGGTTATGCTTTTTTGACGGCTGGTGTTTATGTTGTCGTGATACACCGTGATGTACGGCTCCATAGCCTGCACCAGCCGGGTATGGAAGACTTCATAGCGGTCATCGTCATTGTCGCGGGAAAGGAAGGACTTCATTTTCTCTGCACACTCCATGGCACCCTTAATATCACTATGACTTAAACTGTGTTCTTCGGAGAATGACGCACCTTCTTCCTCCTCTTCACTGACGTGATCTTCTTCCAACATCTCGTCGGCAGTCACTTCAGGATCTCTGATCACCTCCAGGATGTCGTCGTTGGTGGTCTCGGAGAAGCCTGGAACTGTAACAGTCTGCGCAGCTTCTCTGGCAAGGTCCACTGCTACTGCAACATTCTGAACCTCACCAGTCACAGATTGACTCCTCCTCTCACCTGGTATTCCATGCAACACATGTCTCCATGCGTGACGAATTGTAGCAATAGACAGCTGATCCCATGACTCCACCAAGAAGTCCACAGCTTTCTTGATGTTAAATACTCTCCAGAATTGTTTGAACAGTATTTTTTGCTGTTCCAACTGTTGATCCTCATCTTCTTCGCTCTTGCTATCGGTGGTGGTGTCACTCAGGTTACGCAACTCTTCCCTGGTGTTGGTGTAGTCGTTCAGGAGTTTGAATTTTTTTGTTGAGAATGCAGCTTTTACATTACAGATTAACTCTTGGTCCATGGGCTGTAATATAGACGTAGTGTTGGGAGGAAGGAAGACCACTTTTACGTTGGGGTGACGATCTAACAGTAGGGGCGAGTGTCCTGGTGCGTTGTCCAGCAGCAACAAAATCTTGAATGGCACATTCTGTCGCTCACAGAATTTCTTTACATCGGGAACAAAACTGTCATCAAACCAGGAGAGGGACAGTGTAGAGAACATCCACGCCTTACGTGCGGTCAGCCAGTGGACATTTAGCTTGGTCATGTCCATGGTTTTGTAGGCGTGCGGCTTGCGTGCTGTGTGGATCACCGATAACTTGAGCTTACAGGTACCGGAGGCATTGGTGGTAAACAGGACAGTGATGCGTTCCTTCTGCATCTTCCGGCCCCGAATCCTGCTGGCATTCTTTACAACGAATGACTTGGAAGGTAGCTTTTTCCAGAAAAGACCAGATTCGTCCATGTTAAACACCTGGTCGTCACTGTACTGTCCTTCCTCCATAATCTCATGTAAAAAAGGAGGAAATTCCCTAGCCGCAGCATGGTCAGCACTCGCTTCTTCACCACCAATATTTATATTGGTGATCTTGTTCCGGATCTTAAACCTCTGTAACCACCCAGAGGAAGCATTAAAGGGTTTGGGCTCTGTAATTCCCATCTTTCGTGCCACTGCGATGTACAGTTCACGTGCGTAGTCCTTAACAGAGCGCGTGTCGACCGCCATGTTCCGTCATGTCTGACGCACCAAGTACCTCACAAGTAATTTTTCTGTCTTGAGAAGCACCTGGTTGTGAAAATACTTGATCATAGAAGCACCTGTGGACTTTGTGATCTTCATGTGCTCCTTTATCTTGACTGCATCCTTCTTTATTGTTCGAATCGTAGATTCATTCACACCATGCTGGCGCGCCAAATCAACCTGCCTTGTTCCTTTCTCCAACTCTTGGATGATGGTATACTTCACTTCGTAGCTTAAGGAACGTCGTGTCTTCTTTGGCTTAGTGCCACTGGGTCCAGGTAAGGAAAGGTTTCTCTCTGGGGGTGGTGGTCCGGCGGAAGCCATTTTACTGAACAATGGATGCACGATTACACGGTGTGGCCTTGAGAGATGAAACTGCCGCGGCTAGGTCAAGCGTCGTCTTTCCTCCCTCCCTCCCTCCCCCGGGTGGACACGTCATAATACTTTAAGCCAATTACAGCTAGCAGCAGAGGGGGGTAGGGATGCATGGCCAATCACAGTCCGATACGTCATATGACGTCAGTGATAACGCAACAAAGACACACACTGCACAACCTTACCGCGCGGCTTGCCCAAGCGGAGGGAGGAGGAGGGAGAGGCGAGGAGCACAGACAGGCAGGCGGGCGGGTGGCGGGCGGGTGGCGGGTGGGGCGAATCTAAAAATAGCGTCGCGCCAGACACTCTCCGCGTAATGGGGTTCACGTACCGCGTAATGTGAGCACGTTAGGTTCTGGCAAGGCACCGCGTAAACGTGGAAACGCGGAATGTGGGACCGCTTAAAGTGAGGGTTAACTGTACTGTACCGTATATGCAAGTTTTTTCTTACTAAAAAAAATATTATAAATTGTTAATGGATTAAATAAAGCAAGTGAAGTGATTGTTAATATAAAATCTGTACTATTTATAAAAAGCTTCCGGTATTATCCTGAGTCCACGAGCCTCAGTAATGTCCAAGTCCACCTCGCTTGGTGTCAGGCTGCAACCATTTCCAAACAGTTACCAAAATTACCATCTACTATGCTACTGACCTGTAACATTTCTTCCCCGAATCTTGTATCATTTTAGTAAGAAACATTCACTAGATTCAACAAAAGAGATCCTTAAAGTTAGGTTGATAAGGTTGGAGGAGAGTGGCAGCCATTGGAGACTGAGTTGTTGTAGCTGAAGTGGTCGTAAGCATCAACAATCCAAACATTAACTCCCTCAGGGTTTTTGTACACAAAGATGCGCATGAAGTTTATAAACCCTAAAAGTTATGATATGCAATAGTGTATATGAACAAGGTGCTTTGAGTTATTGTTTTGTTTTTCTAACATAATATGCATAGGAGGGGTGACCATACAGACAGGAGCTGGGCGTATCAAAAGTATATTAGCACCTCCTTCATATGACTGGCAGCCACTCTTCTCAGTTATCCCAAAGATCACTCACTAGGGAATGTTGTACAGTATGTGTGTTTGTCTTATTTCTTTCGTGTTTTCAGTTTCACTTTATTTTATTTTATTTTATTTATTTTTTTCTTGTTTATTATTATTATTATTATTTATTTATTTATTTTTTTTTTTTAATGATTGGCAGACGGCTTACCGATCTATGCCTTTGAC